GCGGGGCTCGAACTCACAAACTGTGAGATCACGACCTGAGCCAAGGTCAGACGCTCAACCGACTGAGCCACCCAGGCGCCCCTGCAGTCTCTTGAGTATGCATCTTCCTACTTACTGTATTTACCAGCTTATTACCTAGAATAGCAGCCAATTTAGCAATCTCAGTGGCTTAACACAACCAAGATTTATTTGTTGCTCACATATCATATCCAATCAGAGTCAGGGTGGAGAATGTCTGTCTTTCTCTATACAGACACTCAGGGGCTTGGGCTGATAGGGGCCCCAAACATCTTGTAGCCATTTAGGGGGCTCATGACTTCCAGGTTGCCATGGCAGGGAAAAGAATCAGCATTCACTCTTCAGTGTTTTTGCCTAGAAGTGATAGAGTCATTTTGCTCATAGTTCATTGGTCCATACTGGTCGTATGACTCTGCTTAACTGCAGGGGGACTGGAAATATGGGGGAACCTATGGAATATTCATGAGCATTACCAAGGAGAGGTGATATGTGGTATTATGTGTGTTAAAACTATATATTGAGGGGCACCTGGGTGGCTAAGTCGGTTGAGCATCTGACTTTGGCTCAGGTCATGATCTCACAGTTCGTGAGTTCAAGCCCCACGTTGGGCTCAGAGCAGGCTTTGGATCCTCTGTCCCCCTCTCTCTGCCTGCCCCTCCCGCACTTTCACTCTCCCCAAAATAAATGAATATTAAAAAAGAAACTACATATTGAAAAAATGCAGCTTCCGATTTTCTAGATCTGCCAAGTTTCATTTAATCTCCCAATTTTCTAAGCCTCCAGGTTCAAAGAGGCCACCATGGCAGCAGCTTTTACTGATGGCCTGGTAGGGACAGGGAAGCTGCTGCCAATCTCAGAGTTATGGGATTGATGAGCAGAGCAGCAGATAATACAACAGGGAAATGGCGGGGGCAACTGTGACTTCTGCTGACTTGGTGTGGTTACTTTGTGTGGTAGGCTGAAAAATCCTCCCCCCTTTCTTTACCCCATAGATAGCAGGTCCTGATCCCTGGAGCCAGTGGGTGTTACCTATATGGCATCAGGGGTTTCGCAGATTGATTAGATTAAGGATCTTGAGTTGGGGGTTATCCTGGATTAGCCCAGTGGGCCCTGAATGCTGTCACATGTATCCTCATGAGAAGGGAGCAGGGGGATTTGACACTCTGACAGAAGAGGAGGAGGCAGTGGACCATGGAGGCAGAGACTAGAGTGACATGGCTACAAGCCAAGGAATGCCCACAGCCATCAGAAGCTGGAAGAGGCAAGGAGTGGATTCTCCTCTAGAGCCTCCGAAGGGATTGTGGGCCAGTAACTGGGGGATGGGGCAAGAGTGAAAATTTTCTTTCCATACTCTCTTTTTTCTTTCTTTTTTTTAAAAGTTTTTTTTTTTTTTTTTTAATGTTTATTCATTTTTGAGAGAGAGAGAGAGAGAGCACGCACGAGTTGGGAGGGGGAGAGATAATCCTAAACAGGCTTTGTGCTTGTCAGTGCAGAGCCTTACATGGGCCTGGAACCCACGAACCATGAGATCATGACCTGAACCGAAGTCCAGAGTCAGTCACTCAACCGACTGAGCTACCCAGGCGCCCCTCCTTACTCTCTTTTCTCATCTTTTAAATTTAAACCATGTGAATCTACTACCTATTCAAAAGAAAGCAAATAAAATTAACCTTTACAGTTCTGCCAACCCTACAGTAAGGGAACATGGTTCATTTTATTGTGATCTTGTGGAATGCACAACTTGTGATCTGTGGAATGCACTTGTCATTCTTTTCAGAATGTTGCCCCCTGGGCCCTCCCATCCCACCTACTCCAATTTCTTCTCTCTCTCTTCTGGTGTTCGGGGAGTAAGTCAGTGGTGGGAAAGAATTATGTGGAGAAAAATAAATGATGCTGTAATAATTACAACTTTTGCTTAGAATTTCAAAAGGTAATTTGATTAAAAATTACCTCAGAATTACCTCCCTTTCTGGATCAAGGCTTCCAAAACAGTGTGCTGAGATTTAATTTCCTCAGCCTTGAGGAGTGCAGGCGAGGGCCAGGGTAGCCACCACCCCCCCCGGCTGGTGGCTTCTACTTCGAGAATACTGCCCGTTGCTGACAGTGTGCTATGTAAATATTATTATTTTCAATGTGCGCAGTGATGTGGAAAGGTTGGTAAATACTGCTCTAGGTAAACTGTGGCCTTATATTTTAGAATACGTGTTGCATAAAACCACCTATGGAAAACAAACAAACAAACTTGCTGGATCTTTGGGAAAAATTTAGTGATCGTTTTGCTCCAGTGCAGGAGTCCTTAGCCTTTTTTCCACCACGACCCTTGTGATGAGGATGGTCATGACCCGGTGGCTATCTTGGTGAGGGCACTGGCACTTTTGCATAGCCCAAAAAGCTGGCTCGGCTTCAGTGTTTCCCACACAAGCTCATAGGAAAAGAAAGTAGAGTAACATTTTAGGAAATGATCTTGAGTTCACTCTTATTTACCAAGAAATGAATTGATGAAAACTTGGATATGTCCACCATCTGTAGGAACAAAGGCATTCTGACCCACATCATAAGTGATGTCACAGTTGGGAACAACTGTCCTCACAGCGTAAGTAACATTTCATATTGTGGCTAGCTGCATATAAGGTAATTTTAAAACAACAAATAAGAGATCAAGTTTTTTAAAGAATTGGTGACAAGCAAAAAAAAAAAAATAATAGTGGTACTACATGCAGTGTATAAATAGAAACTTTATCAAGTTCAATTTTCATTTGAATTATATTTGTTGTTCTGTTGTGTCCTGGTGGGTCTGATGATGTTGGTAATGCTGTCTGTTCTTTATGTTTTCTGGAAAAAGTAACTGAATTAGTATGTCAATGTAGTATTATCTGAAGATATCTAAGAGCTGTTAAAATGCTTAAAAATAAAATGATCAATTCTCCCTTTGTTCTCTTGACAGGATAATTGAAGCTATCTGCATAGGTTGGTTCACTGCAGAGTGCATCGTGAGGTTCATCGTCTCCAAAAACAAGTGTGAGTTTGTCAAGAGACCCCTGAACATCATTGATTTACTGGCAATCACTCCGTATTACATCTCCGTGTTAATGACAGTATTTACGGGCGAGAACTCTCAACTCCAGAGGGCTGGAGTCACCTTGAGGGTGCTTAGAATGATGAGGATTTTTTGGGTGATTAAGCTTGCCCGTCACTTCATTGGTCTCCAGACACTTGGTTTGACTCTCAAACGATGTTATCGAGAGATGGTTATGTTACTTGTCTTCATTTGTGTTGCCATGGCAATCTTTAGTGCACTTTCTCAGCTTCTTGAACATGGGTTGGACCTGGAAACATCCAACAAGGACTTCGCCAGCATCCCTGCTGCCTGCTGGTGGGTGATTATCTCTATGACTACAGTTGGCTATGGAGATATGTATCCTATCACCATGCCCGGAAGAATTCTTGGAGGAGTTTGTGTTGTCAGTGGGATTGTTCTCTTGGCATTACCTATCACTTTTATCTACCATAGCTTCGTGCAGTGTTACCATGAGCTCAAGTTTAGATCAGCTAGATATAGTAGAAGCCTCTCTGCTGAGTTCCTAAATTAATGCATTGCAAATCAATTCTTGCACACACTTCGTTTGATAGAAAGAGTTGACTCTCCTTCCTAGTCATCATGTGCTTCTTGCTGGGTGAGTGCTGCAGTGGTACTACCATCCTGTTGGTAGGGTAAAAATTACCCTTCCCAGCTGAAGGGATGAAAAAATGTACTTATAATGGAGTAAGTAGGATTGAGACCGTGAAGGGAAAACAATGACTCCTAGAATAAATTTTAGGACCTTACTTTATTTATGCCTGTCTTCTTCTTGCCTTGAACAATTACACTTTTTGTGTTTGTTTTAAAGTATAGTATTTGAACGTTTTAAAGCCAAAAGGTACCATTTTCCAAATGTTTTCCCATCTTATGAAATTCAGAAGAAGCTTGGAAGTTACAGTGTTTTTTTTTTGTTGGAGAGTAACATTTTTATTTCTAAATGTTTTATAATCTCTCATATCAATGTCAGAAGTATCCTGGAAACATATGTCACATGCAGGAACTGTTTAACAAATACTTTAAAAATTTGGCCAAATTTTAAACTGTATAATGGAGCTAGATATGAGCAAGGATAGTATTTGAAAAACTTTCCTAGCATATTTCTCAATTCCCTGATTTGTTTTTGTTTCTGTTATTCACCTTATCATACAGCTTTACGGAAGCTTGAGCATGTTTTCTTTTTTCCGTTTTGGATTTCTTTTATCTTTTTACTGAAGTGACTCAACAGAGTATTTCAGAATGAGGGGAGCTTGTATTGTTTTAGCATTTTATTGGAGTTCATTTTACTTGAATTCATTCACTGCTGTTACTAGGTAGGTGATAATTGTCCTAACATTCAGATGTCCAAACAAGAATATTTCCAACATAGGAATGATAATAGAAATAGTTTGATATTACAACCCATATTTATCTACTTCTGCTCTTAATTTTTTTCCGTGGGTTTAATAAGACTTAGCAGATGAAAGGATGTTTATGTAGCCTTTTTATACCAAAGTCATATTTAGATGTTGTCACGGGATTATCATAAAAAGAGAAATTAAATATTTCCTTACTCTTGGTTGCTATGTAGCTAAGCCAGTTTTAAGCCAGCTAAAAGCAGTGAATACATAATTGTTTGATCTGAGCTTCACCATGTTGAATTGCAGCTACACCAAAACTTCTTGTAACAATATTGAATAATATGCCACATTAATCTGGGTAGATTATTAGGATTAGATAATATAAAACTGTTGACTGTTTAGTGCTAAAATTTAGCAATATGAATTAAGATTTTGCTTTGTTAACCAGTTGCCGTAAAGAAGTTAATATATAAACACAAAAAATTAAAGTCATAGATTCACAAATAATTTAATGTTATAGACTGCAATTTAGTGGGAGTGGAGAGGGTGGGTGGAGAGGAGATGGGGCCTGGATGTATTTATTACAGAACAGAAGTGTTCATTAAAAGAATATTAGCTATCATCTAGTTCAAACGTCAACTAGCACAAGTAGACAACCAGGGCAAGAGAGGATATGGCTGTGGAGGAATGAGGGCCCAAACCTGGATGTCTAAAAACCTACTTAGCCCAGCAACTTATTCTTAACACATGTTTAGGGTTTGAGAAAAGCCTCAAGAAGCCACACTTCTTTGCCATTGCCGTTGCTGGGGTAATAATAGCAAAACCATTCCTTTTCCCTAATTTCTGAGTTTATGTGACATTTTGGCCATGAAAAGAATCTCACCCCATCTTTTTTACCATTGCACACTGGTATGCTGCTTATTATATACTCAAAATAAATTCTGTTATTTATTGTCTACTAACTGTATTTTAATATATTTGAAATAAATGGCATGGATTTATTTTTTCTTACCTATTTTGATTAAGGCCTTGTGGTTCATGCGAATAATATGCAGATGAAAGCATCCCCATATTACTAATAAAAATATGGCAGCCATACATTTTGCTGGCACTGGGAAGCCTTCATGGAAGTATGTCTTATGTCCCCAAATAAATTATAATTATCTTGAGGGCTGGGGCCCTCTTTCTGGCACACACTTTCATAGCCCCACAGCGTCTGTGACAGATTTGGGCACATGCTATCGTTGACTGATTTGGGGGGAGAGATTTCTGTGTGAAGAGGCAAGGAGAAGCCCACACCCACAAGTGCACATGTAGAGCCGCATGTGTGAACACACACACAGACTTTGAGGCTGCCCTTAAGGAACAAGAAATCTCCTGTTGGTGGTGACAGACCAAGGACGTCTAATGACTAATCCAGCTACCCATTTACTAAGAATGGTGATAAGAAATTATAGAATACTTCATGGGTTAAGAGACTATATCATGGACATTGTAATTTTTGAGGAACAGAGGCGTTTTTCTGAAACTTTCCCCTGAATGTTACTGCTTTTAAAAAAGCCATTCAGTAGGACGATTTTTTAGTTGTGCATTTGGACGTTTCTCATAACTCCATCGTCACAGCACAGATACTTTCATTAGGATCTGTGTTAATACCAGTAAGTCAGATGTTATCCTAAATTATTGGAATGCTCAGTGAGGAAAGAGGAAACCCGAATGTTGGTTCTGGTTTTACCACATGTGAGATTGTAACTTAATCTTAGGTATATCTTGTTTTGTATCCTCTAAGATGGTGGGTTTTTTTCCAGATTAAAGATACAAATTACAGAATGCCTTTAAAAGCGAACATACTCTTAACAATCCAAGGCCTTATTTATCTTTTTCTTTTATGGCTCTTTTGTACTGTGGGTTGCTGGTTGAAACTGGCATTTGCATTTGCTTGGCTCTTGGTTTTTGCAGTTACTTGTCACCACACATTTGTAAGTTCTTCCTTTCTTAAAAAATGTAGAAATACGTTCTTTCACAGTGGCTGTCAGTAAGTCAAAGTAGTATTCTGTTTTTAAGTTTGGGTCCAGATGTCTTCCTTAGGTCTCCTGTGACCTGGGAGGTGGGGAAGATGGGGTTACATTGGATATTGGTGTTGGAAGGATTTCCTTTGTTGGCTTGATATTTTCTAAAAGCAGCTTATTTTTCCTCTTTGTTATAGAAATGAAAAATAAAAAACTGAAACCTCCTAGCTGTGCTTCACTATTAAGCTTCTGTAACCCCAAACTTAATACATAGCTTCACAAAATATTTCCAGAGCTCTCTGATCCTACATAAATGTACATTCACTTATAGTATGCAATATACAGTTCAAACAAATATGGTGTAAATATTTCATAGCGTGACAGTAAATTAGAACTAAAGGGCCCTAGGGGTCAGTTAAGCATCCGACTTCAGCTCAGATCATGATCTCATGGTTCGTGGGTTTGAGCCCCACATCAGGCTCTGTGCTGACAGCTCGGAGCCTGGAGCCTGCTTCGGATTCTGAGTCTCCGTCTCTCTCTGCCCCTCCCCCGCTCATGCTCTGTCTCTCTCTCAAAAATAAATAAACATTAAAAAACAAAAAGAACTAAAGAGCCCTAGAGACCTTCTGGTCTACCATGTCCCCTTCCTTTGCCCTTTATCTTGTCCAAATGTCAGCGGCCAAGGAACTGTGCTCCCAGTGGCTTATGAGTTAGCTGTCATCCTGATTTACCTGGGACTTTCTTCGTTTTACCACTGAAGGTCCCCCCATCCGGGGAGATCCTTTCATCTCAGGAGAGATGGTCACCTGGGAGAGTTGGTCACCCTAGTATCAGGTCAGGCCCCCGAAACCTGATTTTCAGATTTTTAGTTCAGTAGTCTTTGGACATACTTCTATTTTATAACATCAGAAGGCGTGAAGGATTTCTTTTTAAATATTTTCTTTGGGGCCTTGGAACCCCTTCTTATAGGTCAAATAAAGAGCAAATGTTGCTTGTAGACACCCTAGATGTCAGGAAGGATGGCTTGGGACAAGTGTATAGGGAACTCAGACTTTCAGTAGAGTTTTTAAGTTTATTTATTTTGAGAGAGAGCGAGAGAGCGAGCACTGGCGTGCAGGGGAGGGGCAGAGCCCCTCACAGACTGAGCCACCCAGGCGCCCTCCAGTAAGTACTTAAAGTTTGGGCCATTAGTGTCAATTTAATTGTCAGTTTATTGTTTTAGTGAATTGAACTTGATAATCTGCATTTATGCTATAATTTAAGCAAATTAATTAAAGTAGCTTTGGTGAGAATCCTTTGATTTAACACTATACCAAGCATAGTGAAAACATAAATGACATTTTGTGAATGAAAGCCTGAGGGAATAAATATTTGGATTTCACCTACCAGAACTAAGTAATGCGATGTCATTTATATCTGAAGAAGTGATCTTGCTTTATTTATGCAACATTGTATTAACACTGAAACTAAAATTTCACACAATTTTGTATTAGGTAGTTTCCCCTCCCCTTAGACTTTAATTATTTCATTTTTTTTAAAGTTTATTTATTTTGAGAGGGGCAGAGAGAGAAAGAGAGCGCCTGAGAGCAGGGGCGGGCAGAGAGAGGGGGACCGAAGATCTGAAGCGAACTTCGCACTGATCGCAGAGAACCTGGTGTGGGGCTTGAACTCAGGAACCAAGACATCGTGACCTGAGTCGAAGTGGGATGCTTGACCGACTGAGCCACCTGGGCGCCCCAGGGTGATTTGTTTTTAAAGAAAGAACACATAAGTAATGACAGGTGTTTTTGTTGTATTAATATACAATGAATTGTTCAATTTACATATTTTTTAGCTGTGTGCTACAAGCTTGATCTGACAGCTCTGGTGGGTTTCCGTGTTTTCCTTCTCTGCCGTACAGAAGGCAGGAGAATTCCACGTTTTTAGTGGAGAACAGTATTCGAGTTAC